CTCAGTCAAGGGGGGACACATGTGGAAGCCATTGTTGCCCGGGAGTAAGGTAAGCCATCCCTTTGTGTAGCTAGGGTTCAGAAGGTAAGCTATCCCTTTGTGTAGCTAGGGTTCAGAAGGTAAGCTATCCCTTTGTGTAGCAAGGGTTCAGAAGGTAAGCTATCTTTGTGTTGCTAGGGTTCAGAAGGTAAGCTATCCATTTGTGTAGCAAGGGTTCAGAAGGTAAGCTATCCCTTTGTGTAGCTAGGGTTCAGAAGGTAAGCTATCCCTTTGTGTAGCAAGGGTTCAGAAGGTAAGCCATCTCTTTGTGAAGCTAGGGTTCAGAAGGTAAGCCATCTCTTTGTGAAGCTAGGGTTCAGAAGGTAAGCCATCTCTTTGTGAAGCTAGGGTTCAGAAGGTAGCTATTCCTTTAGGTAGCTAGGGTTCAGAAGGTAAGCTATCCCTTTGTGTAGCAAGGGTTCAGAAGGTAAGCTATCCCTTTGTGTAGCAAGGGTTCAGAAGGTAAGCTATCTTTGTGTTGCTAGGGTTCAGAAGGTAAGCTATCCCTTTGTGTAGCAAGGGTTCAGAAGGTAAGCTATCTTTGTGTTGCTAGGGTTCAGAAGGTAAGCTATCCCTTTGTGTAGCAAGGGTTCAGAAGGTAAGCTATCTTTGTGTTGCTAGGGTTCAGAAGGTAAGCTATCCCTTTGTGTAGCAAGGGTTCAGAAGGTAAGCTATCCCTTTGTGTAGCAAGGGTTCAGAAGGTAAGCTATCCCTTTGTGTAGCAAGGGTTCAGAAGGTAAGCCATCTCTTTGTGAAGCTAGGGTTCAGAAGGTAAGCCATCTCTTTGTGAAGCTAGGGTTCAGAAGGTAGCTATTCCTTTGGGTAGCTAGGGTTCAGAAGTTAAGCCATCCCTTTGTGTAGCTAGGGTTCAGAAGGTAAGCCATCTCTTTGGGTAGCTAGGGTTCAGAAGGTAAGCTATCCCTTTGTGTAGCAATTGTTCAGAGGGTAAGCCATCTCGTTGTGTAGCTAGGGTTTAAAAGGTAAGCAATCCTGTTGTGTTACTGAAGGTTTAAGGGGGTAAGCGATCTCGTTGTCTTACTGGGGTCCAGAGGGTAAAAGATCCAGTTTTATTAGTGGCGTCCAGAGGGTATGCGAGCCCGTTGTGTTACTGGGGTCCCGAGGTTAAGCAATCTGGCTGTGTTTTTGAAGATCTGAAACGTTTGTCGCTAGGGTCCAAAAGGTAAACCACCCCATGTGTTGTTGGGGTCCAGAAGGTAAGCGATCCCATCTGTTGCTAGAGTCCAGAAGTTAAGCGATCCCATGTGTTGCTGGGGTCCAGAAGGTTAGCAATCCTGCTGTGTTGCTAGGGTCACAATTTTAACCAATAACAGTGGCATTTACAATTGCCATACATGTCCTATTAGGCTAGTAAAGACTGCTGTAATAATAGCTTACTGACACCACAGATAACTTTGCTGCAAATTAATCGATCATGGAAGTTGTCTTCAAAGATCTTGGCGCGCGAGTTAGCTGAATGCACATGCTCCCATGGGAGATGTATGACAGGAGCAGAAAGAGCGGAGAGAGAGAGAGAGAGAGAGAAGGAGAGAGAGAGAGACAGAGAGAGAGAGAGACAGAGACAGAGAGACAGAGAGACAGAGAGAGAGAGAGAGAGAGAGAGAGAGAGAGAGAGAGAGAGAGAGAGAGAGGCCAGAATGTTCATTGACTTTAAAAAAAAAGTTAGCAGAGACGAGCGATGTCAACTGTTCTTTGATCTGTTCACACCGTCTCCAATGTAACTACTGACGTTTTAGTCTATCCTGTCTTGGGTTATGCCGACTGTAAACTTTTGCTGTTTGCATGATTTTTGCACGCTTCCGCTCATCAGGACTATGCTCTTCTTGTAGTGCATGTTGTGTGGCGCTGGTAGCCAGATCTATCGACAACCTTCTGTCTCGTAAAGTTTCACTCAGTTCTAGATCAGACGAACTTCCGTACCATAATGTCGGACTGTCCATCATCTTCTCTCTCGGTCTCTCCCTGCCTCTCCCTCAAGCGTTAAAATTTGTCTGTCTGCAACATCTTTTTCAGATATGGTGGCTTCGTTTGATTATGAATGTCACCATGTACCGACTAGAGCAGTCGAACGCGCAAAAGATAGACATACAAATATAAGAGACGCTCTTAAGTATTATATACGAAGCGAACAGGAGGGCCCGTTCCAGCGATATCTTTATACACTGACTTCGTGAGGCATTCGAGGAGTAGAGAAAAGAAAAGTGAGTAGGACACACCCTGACAACAGCTACAGTGAAACCATGATACTGAGTGCTGAATGTATTCAAGCTGCTGTAAATGTGTTGTTGGCGTCTTGCTTTGCCTTGTACACAGCGACAGAGAGACAGAGAAAGGGAAAGAGAGAGAGACAGAGAGAGAGAGAGAGAAGGAGAAGAAGAAGAAGAAGAAGAAGAAGAAGAAGAAGAAGAAGAAGAAGAAGAAGAAGAAGAAGAAGAAGAAGAAGAAGAAGAAGAAGAAGAAGAAGAAGAAGAAGAAAAAGAAGAAAGGATTAGGAGTGGTTCAAGGAGATAGCGGCGGAAGAAAGAGAGACAACGAAAACAGAAGAAAGAAACAGTGAAGGATTGGGAGATCAAGAAAGGGGAGAGGGGGTGGAAGCTGATATCACACAACACGTGACTGTACGAGAGATGTGCACGAGACGAGGTGCTATTTTTAATATCCATGACCCTGGTCGTCATCCCTGGGAGATTCGCCTGGGCCGCTGGGAGGTTCACATCTGATGTTTAGTTCTGTCTCCGTAACGAGCTGACAGCGCCGGCCACACACACTTCGTCTGAGGAAGTGTTTCGTCTCGATGGCAAACTGGGTTATTGATTTCTGAATCTTTCCCGAGTGGGTTAGTTGCCCCATTATGGGGAAAACAAGAATAGACCCACTGCCTCCCCTTTAAGCATGTCGTAGGAGTCAAGTAATTGCGGGATTCCTTCGAAATCGGACTGCAACTGCACGAGAGGCAAGAAGCCACCAGTGTGGATACAAATTAGACAGATATGTAAAACTGGTGTGCACACAACACACAGTCAAGGTCTAGAACAAGACTGAAGTCCAGAAGTAGACGAATAACCAGAACTTTTCACCAGAATTTAAGCCGGTGAATGCTAAGAAGAAGCAGAGAAACAAGTATAAATCGAATCTATATGGTCAGATGCAGTCTCCCGTCCATCTACACAGCATTGCGACTCGCTACGGCCAAACACCTTCTTACTAGATGCAGGTCGAATCCATTGGTAATCCAGACAGACCCTTTCGGTTATGCTTTCAAGTTTCTAATCCAAAGAAGAGAAGAGATATCCACTTTATTTACGCCACCTGTTCACAGAGAAACCAACAATGCCTTTATTAGAGAACCCGGCAGAAAGTTCAGATGTGATAAACATCTGGCATCGTTTTCTCCAATCAAGACTCGTGTCTCTGTCTCTCACATCCATTTATCATCACCTTCCCCTGTTTTATTTGGTGTGGGGGCATTGCTCCCTCCACAAATAATCCAGTAATTGTGTGGTATAAATATAGCCATTTGATTACACTCCAGATCCCCCCCCCCCCGGCCCCGGCCGGTCCTCAGTTGATTACAACCTTAGATGTCAATATTCTGTGTGGGCGTCCAGTTAGCCAGTGGCTATAACTCGTCTGTTAGAAAGATATTCCTTTCTTCTGCTGGCTAATCTCACCTTTGGCTTGTAGGTTTTTTTTTTTTTTCTAATTCCACGTTGTTTCTTCCTCCTCCTTCTCGTCCTTTGTCGTCCTCCTCCTCCTCGTCCTTCTTCCTCTTCTTCCTCGTCCTTCTTTCTCCTCTTCCTCGTCCTTCTTTTTCTTTTTATTTTTTTCTTCTTATCTTTTTCTTCTTCTTCTTCTTCTTCTTCTTCTTCTTCTTCTTCTTCTTCTTCTTCTTCTTCTTCTTCTTCTTCTTCTTCTTCTTCTTCTTCTTCTTCTTCTTCTTCTTCTTCTTCTTCTTCTGCTTCTTCTTCTTCTTCTTCTTCCTCTTCATTTTCTTCTTCTTTTTTCTTCTTCTTCTTCTTCTTCTTCTTCTTCTTCTTCTTCTTCTGCAAATGCACCTATAGTTCAATTGTTCGGTTGTAGGCTTTTCTAATTGCCTTCATAGCGTGTCTGAATTAGGATGGGGGCACTTCGCACTATGTTTGTGGCTAAAATACTTCACTATTCATAGATGTCATAACCTGTAATCTGTATGTAGTTTTGTACCTCGAAACCTAAAGAAAGAAAAAAACAATCACCTGCAAGTTCATAGTTGTAAAACGCAAACTCTGCCTTGTCAATATTTCAGAAAGAAGTATATATACAGTGTTTTTGAGTATACTATACACTAGGGCTGTACCGAAAAGTGATTTTTACTATTCGGCCGAATACAAATAGCTAGACCAACTATTTGGCCAAATACGAATACGAATAGTTAATCATCATCATCAGGTGCTTTACCGACTGGCATCGGCGATTATGCGTTGCCATAATCTGCGATCTCCTGCAGCATGTATTAGTTCGTATGCTTACACACCTAAGGTATTTTAAGCATTGTTGTGAAAAACCACATCTCTGGAGCCTCAAGAAATTGTTTGGCCTGCCTACCGATTGTCCAGGACTCACAGCCATATGATAAAACTGGATGTATGTAGCAAGCAAGAATTCTTTTTCTAACCTTCAAATGTTCTTCTTTTTATAAAATGCAGTTTTTGCCTGTCCTCTTCTGTTTCTTATTTCAGTAATGCATCTTCCATCTGATGTTATCCATGTACCCAGATACTCAAATTTATGTACTTGTCCCAAAATAAAACTATTTACTTTTATTACACATTTTGGAATAATTTTCTTTGATACCACCATTACTTCTTTCTTCACACTATTCAAACTGAGGGCCATTCTTCCACTTTCGAATAGTGTACAAAATGTTTTTTTTTTTTTAAACATCCATAATATTAAATGTACGCTGAAATTTTACTTCACAAAATGTTGTACAGAATAGTAAACATTTAAAAACATTTCATGTTTTTCATCCTCCAGTCAGTCAGTGGTAACTAATACCTATGAATGAAAGTATTCTTAGTTTTATAACAAGTAACTAAACTTGTAAATTGTCACTGACAGCTTAGTTAATGCACGAAAGCGGCATTAGCTTTCAAAACAAAACAAAACACACACACAAAATCGCTCCATGTTGTCAGCATTAAGGCAGCTTCTCGTCTCACTGAAGGTATTTCCAGCTGTACTAAACAGATGTTGACTTGGTATGCTCGTAGGTGATGCACAAAGATAACACTTGACAGTGTGAACCAAGGTGGGAACTCTTAGCATGTTTTTTTCCACCAGTCCAGAAACGGGCGTAAGGTAACCACTATTCGTATTCGGCCCGATCGCAACTATTCAGCCGAATACTGAATAGTTAATAGGTCCACTATTTGGCCCCGAAGCGAATACGAAGCGAATATTCGGTACAGCCCTACTATACACACATGAAATCCTCACCAGTGCTACAGAGTTTGTGCAATAATGAAACAATGGATGCAGTCCATCTGCAAATGGATGTGGATCTTGAAGTAGCAGGTAAAGACAGTCTAAGAAAGAAGTGAAACTGTTGTATACCTTCACATGACTGTTTTCTTGTCAATGCCAACAGGAGTGTCGGGACCTGGGTGAGATGCTGCTGTCTATCAATTATCTTCCCTCCGCTGGAAGGCTTAACGTGGATGTCATCAAGGCTAAGGGCTTGCTTCAAACAGACCTTGTCGGTGGCTCGGGTAAGTTGCAGTTTGCTTTCAACTTCAGATAGACCTTGTCGGAGGCTCGGTTAAGTTGCAGTTTGAAGCTTTTAACTTCAGATAGACCTTGTCGGAGGCTCAGATAAGTTGCAGTTTGAAGCTTTCAACTTCAGACAGACCTTGTCGGAGGCTCAGGTAAGTTGCAGTTTGAAGCTTTCAACTTCAGACAGACCTTGTCGGAGGCTCGGGTAAATTGCAGTTTGCTTTCAACTTCAGACAGATCTTGTTGGAGGCTGGGGTCAATTGCAGTTTGCTTTCAATGTTACGTCCTTAATCTTCTAACCATGGAAGTGAGAACAAAGATCTGCTGAGCATGTACGTATCTGCTTATCAGTGCTGATACACACTATCCATGGCACAGTGAGATTCGCAGGAAGAAGGGTAGCAGGTTAAGAAGAGCAAATCCTGGGTGAGTCGGCCGAGGACATTATTCAACAAGTTTGTTTGAATGAGGACATAGAACCTGGCTAGGAATGGGTACCAGTGCCAGCTGAAGGGGGCACATCCATTTCAGTCTGTATAAAACTGGGTAGAGATTGCAGACAACAAGGTCCATTGGTGGTTGAGGCAGAAGTTCAAGCCTTAATTCTGGAAAATTCTGCTGAGGGAGCTCCAGTAATCTATACTGACCAATCCGTCTTTTGACATGTACAAAGTTCATGGGCTTTCGCCGTTCTGGTTCAAGGGAAAACTAGAAGAACATAGTAAGTCTTTTGCCTCAACTACAAGTAGTTTGACTATGGAGTTGATGGCAGTAACAAAAGCAGTGATGTGGCTAGAGACACAGCAGTTTTTTTATGCCTGTTTTCTAAGTGATTCCATGAGCATGCTTAAGAAGATAGAGACATGATGTGTTTGAAGAAAATGGTTAGAGTCGCTGAGGAAATCTTGTCTGAAAGGAATTTGTTTCATTTTTGTGCCAGGACACTCTGGAGTAAGAGGGAATGAAGGTGTGGATTGGCTTGCTGGCAGGGCCATGGTAGGTACAGGACAAGCAATGGACCGGGCTGACATTCTCAATGCTCTCAAACAGGCAGGATGAGATGATGATTCAGGAGACTTTGAATTTGTAACACTTGAAAGACTACAAGAACTTCATGTCAACAGAGGTGTCGCCAAAAATAAACACTATACAGGCAGCCAAAAAAGAATAGTAAACCAACACACATCTGGGGTTATCAGTTGCTATACTCTGAGAAATACTGAAGATAGGATCACAGCACTTATGGACTTTCCAATATGGATTGAGGATTATCTGTCATTTAACAAACTTTCAACTTTAGACATACTTTATTTGAAGATTAGGTCGGCTATAGTTTGCTTTCACTTCAGACGGACATTGTTTATTTTTAGTGAGTCCTTGATGTCTGTCAACATCTTCCTCTGGTCCTACATCCAGAGCTCCTTTTTGCTCTGTTTAGTTGTTGATCGGGTTTGAATTTTATAAATTATCCAGACCACTTTCTTTGTTTTCTCTTTGATGAATTTGATACAAATCGGGCTTATCATATTTTTGATGTAGTGTTTTTCACTTTCTGTTTTAAGTTAATCCACAAATCGGTCCATTCTGGCCTATTTCTTTGTCCACACGTCTCACAATAATGTCAGCATTTCAGGATAATATACTCCTCTCTAAGGATAATATCAACATCTCATAGGATAAGGTAACTGTCTCTTAGGATAATGTCATCATCTCTTAGGATAATATCAGCATCTCATAGGATAAGGTAACTATTTCTTAGGATAAAATCAGCATCTCATAGGATAAGGTGACTGTCTCTTAGGATAAGGTAACTGTCTGTTAGGATAATGTTACCCTCTCTTGTGATAATTTGGAGATCTCTCCCAAAGCCAGAAATCTCTTGCTACAAGTCTTGCATGTCCTCCCGCGTGGACCACCTCAGTTGACTCTAACTGATATTACACAACACTGCAGATATGTTGCCAAGTGCAGGTAGTTATTGAAAATAATAATTTTTATGACTGTGACAATGACTTCAAAGATGACTGTGACAATGACTTCAAAGATGATGGTGACAATGACTTCAAAGATGATGGTGACAATGACTTCAAAGATGATGGTGACAATGACTTCAAAGATGATGGTGACAATGACTTCAAAGATGACTGTGACAATGACTTCAAAGATGATGCTGACAATGACTTCAAAGATGATGGTGACAATGACTTCAAAGATGATGCTGACAATGACTTCAAAGATGATGGTGACAATGACTTCAAAGATGACTGTGACAATGACTTCAAAAATGATGCTGACAATGACTTCAAAGATGATGGTGACAATGACTTCAAAGATGATGGTGACAATGACTTCAAAGATGATGGTGACAATGACTTCAAAGATGATGGTGACAATGACTTCAAAGATGACTGTGACAATGACTTCAAAGATGATGCTGACAATGACTTAAAAGATGACTGTGACAATGATTTCAAAAATGATGGTGACAATGACTTCAAAGATAAATGTGACAATGACTTCAAAGATGGTGCTGACAATGACTTCAAAGATGACTGTGACAATGACTTCAAAGATGATGCTGACAATGACTTCAAAGATGATGGTGACAATGACTTCAAAGATGATGGTGACAATGACTTCAAAGATGATGCTGACAATGACTTCAAAGATGACTGTGACAATGATTTCAAAGATGACTGTGACAATGACTTCAAAGATGACTGTGACAATGACTTCAAAGATGATGCTGACAATGACTTCAAAGATGATGGTGACAATGACTTCAAAGATGATGCTGACAATGATTTCAAAGATGACTGTGACAATGACTTTAAAGATGATGGTGACAATGACTTCAAAGATGATGGTGACAATGACTTCAAAGATGATGCTGACGATGATTTCAAAGATGATGGTGACAATGACTTCAAACATGACTGTGACAATGACTTCAAAGACGACTGTGACAATGACTTCAAAGATGATGGTGACAATGACTTCAAAGATGATGGTGACAATGACTTCAAAGATGATGCTGACAATGATTTCAAAGATGACTGAGACAATGACTTCAAAGATGATGCTGACAATGACTTTAAAGATGATGCTGACAATGACTTCAAAGATGATGGTCACAATGACTTCAAAGATGATGCTGACAATGACTTCAAAAATGATGCTGACAATGACTTCAAAGATGATGCTGACAATGACTTCAAAGATGACTGTGACAATGATTTCAAAGATGATGGTAACAATGACTTCAAAGATGACTGTGACAATGACTTCAAAGATGATGCTGACAATGACTTCGAAGATGACTGTGACAATGACTTCAAAGATGATGCTGACAATGACTTCAAAGATGATGGTGACAATGACTTCAAAGATGATGGTGAAAATGACTTCAAAGATGATGCTGACAATGACTTCAAAGATGACTGTGACAATGATTTCAAAGATGATGGTGACAATGACTTCAAAGATGACTGTGACAATGACTTCAAAGATGATGCTGACAATGACTTCAAAGATGATGGTGACAATGACTTCAAAGATGATGCTGACAATGATTTCAAAGATGACTGTGACAATGACTCCAAAGATGATGGTGACAATGACTTCAAAGATGATGCTGACAATGACTTCAAAGATTATGGTGACAATGACTTCAAAGATGATGCTGACAATGATTTCAAAGATGATGGTGACAATGACTTCAAAGATGACTGTGACAATGACTTCAAAGATGACTGTGACAATGACTTCAAAGATGATGGTGACAATGACTTCAAAGATGATGGTGACAATGACTTCAAAGATGATGCTGACAATGATTTCAAAGATGACTGAGACAATGACTTCAAAGATGATGCTGACAATGACTTTAAAGATGATGCTGACAATGACTTCAAAGATGATGCTGACAATGATTTCAAAGATGACTGTGACAATGACTCCAAAGATGATGGTGACAATGACTTCAAAGATGATGCTGACAATGACTTCAAAGATTATGGTGACAATGACTTCAAAGATGATGCTGACAATGATTTCAAAGATGATGGTGACAATGACTTCAAAGATGACTGTGACAATGACTTCAAAGATGACTGTGACAATGACTTCAAAGATGATGGTGACAATGACTTCAAAGATGATGCTGACAATGACTTTAAAGATGATGCTGACAATGACTTCAAAGATGATGGTGACAATGACTTCAAAGATGATGCTGACAATGACTTCAAAAATGATGCTGACAATGAATTCAAAGATGATGCTGACAATGGCTTCAAAGATGACTGTGACAATGACTTCAAAGATGATGCTGACAATGACTTCAAAAATGATGCTGACAATGAATTCAAAGATGATGCTGACAATGGCTTCAAAAATGACTGTGACAATGACTTCAAAGATGACTGTGACAATGACTTCAAAGATGACTGTGACAATGACTTCAAAGATGACTGTGACAATGACTTCAAAGATGATGCTGACAATGACTTCAAAGATGATGCTGACAATGACTTCAAAGATGATGGTAACAATGACTTCAAAGATGACTGTGACAATGACTTCAAAAATGACTGTGACTATGACTTCAAAGATGACTGTGACAATGACTTCAAAGATGACTGTGACAATGACTTCAAAGATGACTGTGACAATGACTTCCAAGATGATGCTGACAATGACTTCAAAGATGATGCTGACAATGACTTCAAAGATGATGGTGACAATGACTTCAAAGATGACTGTGACAATGACTTCAAAGATGATGCTGACAATGACTTCAAAGATGACTGTGACAATGACTTCAAAGATGATGCTGACAATGACTTCAAAGATGACTGTGACAATGATTTCAAAGATGATGGTGACAATGACTTCAAAGATGACTGTGACAATGACTTCAAAGATGATGCTGACAATGACTTCAAAGATGACTGTGACAATGACTTCAAAGATGACTGTGACAATGACTTCAAAGATGATGGTAACAATGACTTCAAAGATGATGCTGACAATGACTTCTAAGATGATGCTGACAATGACTTTAAAGATGATGCTGACAATGACTTCAAAGATGATGCTGACAATGACTTCAAAAATGATGCTGACAATGACTTCAAAGATGATGCTGACAATGACTTCAAAGATGATGCTGACAATGACTTCAAAAATGATGCTGACAATGACTTCAAAGATGACTGTGACAATGACTTCAAAGATGATGCTGACAATGAATTCAAAGATGATGCTGACAATGACTTCAAAGATAACTGTGACAATGATTTCAAAGATGATGCTGACAATGACTTCAAAGATGACTGTGACAATGACTTCAAAGATGATGCTGACAATGACTTCAAAGATGATGCTGACAATGACTTCAAAGATGACTGTGACAATGACTTCAAAGTTGATGCTGACAATGACTTCAAAGATGACTGTGACAATGACTTCAAAGATGACTGTGACAATGACTTCAAAAATGACTGTGACAATGACTTCAAAGATGACTGTGACAATGACTTCAAAGATGACTGTGACGATGACTTCAAAGATGACTGTGACAATGACTTCAAAGATGATGCTGACAATGACTTCAAAGATGATGGTGACAATGACTTCAAAGATGACTGTGACAATGACTTCAAAGATGATGCTGACATTGACTTTAAAGATGATGCTGACAATGAATTCAAAGATGACTGTGACAATGACTTCAAAGATGACTGTGACAATGACTTCAAAGATGACTGTGACAATGATTTCAAAGATGATGGTAACAATGACTTCAAAGATGACTGTGACAATGACTTCAAAGATGACTGTGACAATGGCTTCAAAGATGATGATGACAATGACTTCAAAGATGACTGTGACAATGATTTCAAAGATGACTGTGACGATGACTTCAAAGATGACTGTGACAATGATTTCAAAGATGATGGTAACAATGACTTCAAAGATGACTGTGACAATGACTTCAAAGATGACTGTGACAATGACTTCAAAGATGATACTGACAATGACTTCAAAGATGACTGTGACAATGACTTCAAAGATGATGCTGACAATGACTTCAAAGATGATGGTGACAATGACTTCAAAGATGACTGTGATAATGACTTCAAAGATGGCTGTGACAATGACTTCAAAGATGATGCTGACAATGACTTCAAAGATGACTGTGACCATGACTTCAAAGACTATGGTGACAATGACTTCAAAGATGATGGTGACAATGACTTCAAAGATAATGGTGATGATTGGGATAATTTACTTATTCCATTGACAGATCCTTTTGTGAGGGTAACTCTGGTGTTGTTAGAGAGGCCGGTGAAAACCAAGAAAACCTCATGTAAACACAACACCATAGATCCAGTGTTTAATGAGTCGGTCAGCTTCAACTTGACCCATGAACAGGTACAGTGGCCAGAGTTTTATCTTTATCTCTACACTTATGTTTTCCATGAACAGATAGTTGTTCTGTCTCTTCAATTACCTTAACCATGAACAGGTACATTGGCCAGCGTTATCTTTATCTCTACACTTATGTTTTCCATGAACAGATAGTTGGTCTAATTGTTGTCTTCTTACTTATCCTAGGTACAGTGGCCAGCCTCATCTCTGTTTCTACACTCGTCTTTTCCATGAACAGATAGTTGTTCTGTCTCTTCACTTACCTTAACCATAAATGGGTACAATTATAGGGTCTTATTTCAGTCCGCCACTTTAGTCATCTTCTTTTATCCATATCTACCATTCTTCTGGTCTTCTTTCCCTACTTTCAGCTAGCAGTCTTCCTTTCCTGCCGCTTCTTCCCTTTCTTTTATCCTTAACTCTTTGAGTCCCAAGGAAAGCATCATACGTTCACAGGTTCCTACCTAGAAGCCCAATGAACGCATGATGCGCCGATTTTATTACTTTCTTTACTACCCCCTGGGCCTGTGATGCTTAACCCCCTGGGACTCAAATAGATAAAGGACTTCACCCACCCTGAATTCAGACTTGTTCTTGAATATAACCTCCGAAGCCCACTTGTCTAAAATGTCTTCAGATATAAACTTATTACCTCAAATCTCCTGTTTTATCTATTAATATTTATGCGGTCCTTGTTCTGCATGGTTGGCCTCTGGCTCTGTTACCGCTGTATCTGTATAAGATTGCTCTCTGTGGTGCCATCTGATGCCAATCTTGTTACATGTCCAAACCATTAAATTTTTTGTCTATCTATAAAGTTCAGTATTGGTTCTGTGCTAACTCTGCTCCTGATATCATCATTTCTTAGTCAATCTTTCTTCATTACACTTAGCATAGTATGTAAACGTTTAATTTCTGTCACAACTATTTTCCTTCTGTCTTCTGAAAACAGTGTCCATGTTTGACATTGATAGCATAGCATTGGTAAGAATATTGTATTAAACAGAGCTCTTTTAATGTTTATATTCACCCCCTTGCAATTCAAAATCAGTACCATTTGACCCAAAACTTGGTTGGCATTATTGTATCTTTGCTGAATTTATTTATTATTAGTTCTTGCGTCTTCTGAAAAAACAAACTTCCAGTTATGTCACATCATTCACCTGCTTCAACTGGTATATTGGTGACAACATCTCTGGCTATCGTTTTTGCCGCTCTGCATTCTTCAAGATCATCTAAATTTTTACTTTTCGCCCACGCCTGGTATCTACATTCTTTTCCGTTACTTCTGTTTTTACTTACTAATTCCACCAGGGTGTTATTAATGGTCTTTTCCTCTTTACCATTCTGCATGTTTCTCTTATTGCTTGTAACACTGATCTTTTAATCTGTTCACAATCTTTCCCTGCTGATTTAGTTTGTTAGCCTGGTTATAAATAATTTTTTTAAAGTATGCTTCTTGTGTGTTGGCATTTTTTAAGTTCATAATTGAGTATGTTTCTTTTGTGGTTGAATGTATTCTCTAATTGTTATATATCTTTTTTTTTTTCCTAATTCTTCTCTACTTCTTTGATATCTCCTATAATTGTTGGATATCTTCTCTAATTGCTTGATATTTTCTCTAATTGTTTAATATCTTCTCGAATTCTTCTTTAATTTTTTGATACCTTCCCTAATTCTTCTCTAATTGCTTGATATTTTTTCTATTGTCTTATTTAATAATTTGATAATTTGATTATTTTCTAACATTTTCTCAAATTGTTTTGTATCCTCTCCAAAGTCAACTTGTTGTCCTTTAATTCCTATAATGACTACTGTAGTCCTACAATTCCTATAATCTCCATGTGTTGACCTACAACTCCTGTAATGTCCACTTGTTGTCCTACAACTCCTGTAATGTTCACTTGTTGTCCTACAACTCCTGTAATGTCCACTTGTTGTCCTACAACTCCTGTAATGTCCACTTGTTGTCCTACAACTCCTGTAATGTCCACTTGTTGTCCTACAACTCCTGTAATGTCCACTTGTTGTCCTACAATTCCTGTAATGTCAACTTGTTCTCCTACAACTCCTGTAATGTCAACTTGTTGTCCTACAACTCCTGTAATGTTCACTTGTTCTCCTACAACTCCTGTAATGTCAACTTGTTGTCCTACAACTCCTGTAATGTCAACTTGTCCTACAACTCCTGTAATGTCAAATTGTTCTCCTACAACTCCTATAATGTCCACTTGTTCTCCTACAACTCCTGTAATGTCAACTTGTTCTCCTACAACTCCTGTAATGTCCATGTGTTGTCCTACAACTCCTGTAATGTCAACTTGTTGTCCTACAACTCCTGTAATGTCAACTTTTTGTCCTACAACTCCTGTAATGTCCACTTGTTCTCCTACAACTCCTGTAATCTCCACTTGTTCTCCTACAACTCCTGTAATGTAAACTTGTTGTCCTACAACTCCTGTAATGTCCACTTGTTGTCCTACAACTCCTATTATGTCAACTTGTTGTCCTACAACTCCTGTAATGTCCACTTGTTCTCCTACAACTCCTATAATCTCCACTTGTTGTCCTACAACTCCTTTAATGTCCACATGTTGCCCTACAACTCCTATAATGCCCATATTTGGTCCCTCAGTTGCAAGTTGCCAGCATTGTGGTCACAGTGTGGGACCATAATTCTAAGTCCAAGGACGACTTTGTTGGCCGAGTTGTCATTGGTTACCATGGAACTGGAGCAGAGGAGTCCCAGCACTGGAGGCGCATGCTGCAGTCCGAGAGATCTCCAGTTGCCCAGTGGCACACGCTCAAGTCACGTGACGACTGTGACCAGGTTTCTGTAGCTTCCATAGCTGTTCCCTGAAACTCCAAACATGGAGATGTTGGTATCAGACATTGTGATGTTAGTACGCTAACATCACAATGTTGGTATCCAGACATCAGGGTGTTGGTACCCAGACATCAGGATGTTGGTACCTAAACATTAGGGTGTTGGTGCCATGGGAAGATGACTGATGGGAGCTGCAGATTAACCTGGCACATACAATGCTAACTGAATACGTGTGCACCTGATCATTCATTTAGAACAAGTTATTGTGAGAGCAATTCCCTTTGTGAAACCATTTATAACAAGTTATTGAGAGAGCAATGTCCTCTGTGAAACCATTTAGAAAAAGTTATTGTGAGAGCAATGCTCTCTGTGAAACCATTTAGAACAACTTTTTGTGAGAGCAATTCCCTCTGTGAAACCATTTAGAACAAGTTATTGTGAGAGCAATGCTCTCTGTGAAACCATTTAAAACAACTTGTTGTGAGAGCAATGCCCTCTGTGAAACCATTAAAACAAGTTATTGTGAGAGCAATACCCTCTGTGAAACCATTTAGAACAACTTTTTGTGAGAAAAATTCCCTCTGTGAAACCATTTAGAACAAGTTATTGAGAGAGCAATGTCCTCTGTGAAACCATTTAGAACAAGTTATTGTGAGAGCAATGCCCTCTGTGAAACCATTTAGAACAAGTTATTGTGAGAGCAATGCTCTCTGTGAAACCATTTAGAACAACTTTTTGTGAGAGCAATTCCCTCTGTGAAACCATTTAGAACAAGTTATTGTGAGAGCAATGCTCTCTGTGAAACCATTTAGAACAACTTGTTGTGAGAGCAATGCCCTCTGTGAAACCATTAAAACAAGTTATTGTGAGAGCAATACCCTCTGTGAAACCATTTAGAACAACTTTTTGTGAGAGCAATTCCCTCTGTGAAACCATTTAGAACAAGTTATTGAGAGAGCAATGTCCTCTGTGAAACCATTTAGAACAAGTTATTGTGAGAGCAATGCCCTCTGTGAAACCATTTAGAACAAGTTATTGAGAGAGCAATGTCCTCTGTGAAACCATTTAGAAAAAGTTATTGTGAGAGCAATGTCCTCTGTGAAACCATTTAGAAAAAGTTATTGTGAGAGCAATGCTCTCTGTGAAACCATTTAGAACAACTTTTTGTGAGAGCAATGCCCTTTTGTGAAACCATTAAAACAAGTTATTGTGAGAGCAATACCCTCTGTGAAACCATTAAAACAAGTTATTGTGAGAGCAATGCCCTCTGTGAAACCATTAAAACAAGTTATTGTGAGAGCAATACCCTCTGTGAAACTATTAAAACAAGTTATTGTGAGAGCAATACCCTCTGTGAAACCATTAAAACAAGTTATTGTGAGAGCAATACCCTCTATGAAACCAGTTAGCTGCGTTGATTGAGTACAGCCCCACCCTGTTATGTCATGATTTATTTAAATCACATATTTACTTGTATTTTGATAAAAAATGTTTAAATTTACATTTGTGAATGTTTATTTTTTGTTGAGCTCCCAGCAAATAGCAATGCAAAATTCTAGTTTTTGTGTCAGTTACTTACTTACTGGCACAGACTGGAAAAATGGAATGCCATAATTAGGTTTTACAGTAACTCATTAGCGTAATGTGATATCATTAATTTGTATATTTTGTTCAACCTTCTTTGAGTCAAAAAACTTCAACTATTTTTCCCCAGCTCCCAGAATTATTTTTTTTATTTCTGTGATATCTAAACATTTAAGATTATTTATTATTTATTGCAAATCTTTTTCAAACTGCGTGAAGTTTCAACAGGTGTGACAAATTATATCGGAATGTTCCTGCGTACACTGTGGGGATCTGTGAGGGGATAACTAGAATCATTGTCCGTTCACAAGCATGTCGTTAAAGGCGTTAGCTGTTTTTGTGTGTGCTGGGCCAGAGGGTGCTGATATTACAACCTAGCTGTAAACCACAATGCAACTGGCAACTGCCCATTTAAAGGTGAACATCGAAGATGAGGAAGACATGATTGTAAAAAGCTATCAGATGATTCTGAGGGTAAAACATAAATATTCCTTCTCAGAAATAAGTGTTCTGACTCAGAAACAAGCGGATCAGATGACCTTGACTGTAGCGCATAGTCTGTTTACTTCACACTATGTGACCATTTCAAAGGCTTCTCAGGTATATCTTCAAGCCAAGTTGCAGATGGTACCACTTGTCAACATGACTACATATCCTTGTGTTCAGTGTACTGCATGTCAACATGACTATATATCCTTGTGTTCAGTGTACCACATGTCACCATGACTACATATCCTTTGTTCAGAGTACCACATGTCAACATGACTACATATCCTTTGTTCAGAGTACCACATGTCACCATGACTACATATTCTTGAGTTCAGTGTACCACATGTCAACATGACTACATATTCTTGAGTTCAGTGTACCACATGTCAACATGACTACATATCCTTTGTTCAAAATACCACATGTCACCATGACTACATATGCTCATGTTCAGTGTCCCACATGTCAACATGACTACATATGCTCATGTTCAGTGTACCACATGTCAACATGACTACATATGCTCATGTTCAGTGTACCACGTCAACATGACTAAATATGCTCATGTTCAGTGTACCACATGTCAACACGACTACATATCTTTTGTTCAGAGTACCACATGTCAACATGACTACATATGCTCATGTTCAGTGTACCACATGTCAACATGACTACATATGCTCATGTTCAGTGTACCACATGTCAACATGACTACATATGCTCATGTTCAGTGTACCACATGTCAACATGACTACATATGCTCATGTTCAGTGTATCACATGTCAACATGACTACATATGCTCATGTTTAGTGTACCACATGTCAACACGACTAGATATCCTTTGTTCAGAGTACCACATGTCAACATGACTACATATGCCCATGTTCAGTGTCCCACATGTCAACATGACTACATATGCTCATGTTCAGTGTACCACATGTCAACACGACTACATATCCTTTGTTCAGAGTACCACATGTCAACATGACTACATATCATTGAGTTCAGTGTACCACATGTCAACATGACTACATATCATTGAGTTCAGTGTACCACATGTCTACATGACTATATATCCTTTGTTCAGTGTACCACATGTCAACATGACTACATATTCTTGAGTTCAGTGTACCACATGTCAACACGACTACATATCCTTTGTTCAGAGTACCACATGTCAACATGACTACATATCATTGAGTTCAGTGTACCACATGTCAACATGACTACATATCATTGAGTTCAGTGTACCACATGTCTACATGACTATATATCATTGAGTTCAGTGTACCACATGTCAACATGACTACATATTCTTGAGTTCAGTGTACCACATGTCTACATGACTATATATCATTGAGTTCAGTGTACCACATGTCAACATGACTACATATGCTCATGTTCAGTGTACCACAAGTCAACACGACTACATATCCTTTGTTCAGAGTACCACATGTCAATATGACTACATATCATTGAGTTCAGTGTACCACATGTCAACATGACTACATATCATTGAGTTCAGTGTACCACATGTCTACATGACTATATATCATTGAGTTCAGTGTACCACATGTCAACATGACTACATATTCTTGAGTTCAGTGTACCACATGTCAACATGACAACATATCCTTGTGTTCAGTGTACCACATGTCAACATGACAACATATCCTTGTGTTCAGTGTACCACATGTCAACATGACTACATATTCTTGAGTTCAGTGTACCACATGTCAATATGACTACATATTCTTGAGTTCAGTGTACCATATGTCAACACGACTACATATTCTTGAGTTCAGTGTACCACATGTCAACATGACAACATATCCTTGTGTTCAGTGTACCACATGTCAACATGGCAACATATCCTTGTGTTCAGTGTACCACATGTCAACATGACTACATATTCTTGAGTTCAGTGTACCACATGTCAATGTGACTACATATTCTTGAGTTCAGTGTACCACAAGTCAAGATGACTACATATCCTTTGTTCAGAGTACCACATGGCAACATGACTACATATCCTTGTGTTCAGTGTACCACATGTCAACATGACTACATATACTTGAGTTAGGTGTACCACTCATTAACATGACTACATATCCTTGTGTTTAGTGTACCACATGTCAACATAACTACATATTCTTGAGTTCAGTGTCTCACATGTCAACATGACTACATATCCTTGTGTTCAGTGTACCACATGTCAAGATGACTACATATCATTGAGTTCAGTGTACCACATGTCAACATGACTACATATGCTCATGTTCAGTGTACCACATGTCAACATGACTACATATTCTTGAGTTCAGTGTACCATATGTCAACATGACTACATATGCTCATGTTCAGTGTACCGCATGTCAACATGACTACATATACTTTTGTTCAGTGTACCACATGTCAACATGACTACATATGCTTATGTTCAGTGTACCACATGTCAACATGACTACATATGCTCATGTTTAGTGTACTACATGTCAACATGACTACATATCCTGCATGATATTTGACACAATCTGATGTGGTTGTGTACAAACAGATGTTCTAAAATGTATCAGATTCACGAAAGTGCTAGTCTGTATCACAGATATACAAGTGCTCAAATCTTTATATCACAGAAGAAAAAAAATATTGTTAAATGTGTATTGTTGGAGTAGATATTTGTGTACTGTTGGAGTAAAAATTTGTGAACTGTTGGAGTAGATATTTGTATACTGTTTTTCTCATACATGCTCCTTGTGTTGTGGACTTAGCCATTCTTGTATTTTGTAACCTGGTGCTGTCAAGACATCACTAATTTATCTGTGACAATTTTTCATCTACATGTAAAAAATATCAGTTATTTTGTGGGGAATTTACAAATGATATTCAAGCATTTTGCTGTTTATGTCATGTTTTAGAAAAATTATATTTGTGATGGTGTTTAAATATGACATGTGTT